AGGAACTGGCACCATGTCCTGGGGACCTCTAGAGAACCCTGGACACTGAGCTTTCATAGTTCCAAAAGTGCCCACTCTGGGACTCAGCTGTTGCTCCTGTTAAACAGCAGAGTCCAGGTTTTGTTCCAAAACTGTGAAGAAACTCACCAAAATTCCAAAAAAACCCAACAGTAAATATGTGGAAGTCCCCAAACACATGGACCTCCTGACGACCCGAAGCTTTGGGACCTTCCCACCTGATTTTGCAAAAGCAATGACAAAACATTTGATGATATTTGGGTCTAAACCACAACCAGAGAGGGTGTGGAGTCTCCATCTCTGGAGATGTTCCAAACCCACCTGGACACTTTCCTGTGCAACCTGCTCTAGATGGACCTGCTTTGTCAGGGGGGTTGGACTAGATGATCTCCAGAGATCCCTTCCAACCCCCACCAGTCTGTGATTCTGTGATTCTATAAATAAAAGCTCCTTTGTGGCCTTTTCTGTAGCAACTTGCTGAGGATTTATTTTCTAAAAAGCATCTACTTCTCCAGGGATGGAGCCTGCAGGGCTGGAGATCAGGGAAAAAAGCTGACAGGACACGTCTCTGCACACACAAGGTCACCCACAACCACCAACGGCTGGGATGATGTTTCACAAAGGTTTCGTCTCTTGAGTGGAAGGAAAAAAACATCTGAATTAATTTATGACTCCGTGGACATCATGTCCCGGCTGCCATCTAGTGCTTGTCCCTGCAGCAGATGCACATCGCTTGGGCATCACACGAGGGGACATCTGGGTGGGCTTGTGTGAGTGCACACGAACCCAGGGACACAGGATGAGCTTGGGCGAGTGCACAATAACCTGGAGGACATCAGGGTGGGCCTGTGCAAGTGCAGAACAACCTGAAGGACATCAGGGTGGGTTTGAGCACAACAACCTGTAGGACATCAGGGTGGGCTTGTGCAAGTGCAGAAGAACATGGGGGACATCAGGGTGGGAGAAACCAGGGACAGTGGGGTGGGCTTGTGCAAGCACACAACATCTTGAGGGACATCAGAGTGAGTTTGTGCAAGTGCACAAGAGCCCAGGGACATCAGGGTGGGCTTGGGGGTAAGTGCAGAACAACCTGGAGGACATTAGGGTGGGCTTGGGCAAGTGCAGAACAACCTCAGGGACATTGGAGTTGGCTTGTACATGTGCAGAAGAAGCTGGGGGACATGAGGGTGGGAGAAACGAGGGACATCAGGGTGGGCTTGTGCAAGCACAGAACAACCTGGGGGACAGCGAGGTGGGCTTGTGTGAGGAGACACGACCTCGGGGGACATCGGGACCGGCTGG